TGCTGAGCTTTCAGTGAAGAATGGCTTTGAAAATGACTTTCAGAAAAATGTTGTTTCAGCTGTAACTCAAGGTTGCAGGTCTATTACTTTGAGATGGTAATGCCTGTATAGTTGTCAAAAGTCATTCACTGTGGTTAAGTGTCCTCCAATTAAACAAAAACCAAACACAGTCTTTTTGCTTATCAGATGTCTACACAAAGTGATTGCATCTGAACAGCTCTGGCAACTAATTTCATCTCAGTGAAATTTCAGTATATAAAGCTGAAGCTTTTCTGGTTGAATTGTGAGTATCTTTTAATCTTGCAGCTCCTTGTGTTCCCCCTCCTCCACCTCCAGCTGGGGGTGATGGAGTGAGGGATGAAGAGGAGGAAGAGGCGGAGGTTTTCTTCCCCACGTCAGGAAACAGAAAGACAACACCTCCCCCTCCCATCGCTGCCCGGCACAAGAGGACCTGCTCTGAATCTAATAAGCAGGGTAATATCTGAGAGACACACCGCAGTTAGTCTGTCAGAGTAACACTGTCATTAACTCTGTACGTCTGTGTTTATGTGTGTTTGCACAGATCATGGGTTGCCATCCAGTCCTAGGATTTACAGTGGTCCAGACTCCTCCTTCAAGAAGTGTGTGTGAGTATCTGAGATATAATTACACTGTATTTTAAAACAAACTGGATGAGATTTATGTCTACTCATGAAACGTTAGGAATATTTGGCCTTCAGGTGAAATTTATGGAAATTGTTAAAATCAAAGTATGTTTGGCAGCAAAAGCAAACAACTGAAATTTAACTCCAAAGCCGAATAGCACATAATTAGTGGTCTAGGTGTCAAAAACCATAGTAATTTGATTTTAGTTCTGTTTAAGTCATAATTATACATTAAAAATAATCATTTAAATTAACACTAAGTGAAAACATTAGGGAGCAGCAACAAGCTGTTCTGTATGAAGCATTATACTGCCCTCTATTGGTCACAAGGATAATAACCAGATAAATTCTCTCTCTGACTCCAGTCCATCTTCTCCTCTCAGCTCGCTGACGGAGCGACCAGACAGAGGTACTTGTTCTGCTCAGACACATCCACTGCACTCTTTATTTATGCCTGGTCTACCTGTCTGCTGCATATGTTATAATTTTTAAATTAATTCAATTTTAAACTAAAACTATTCCACATAGAGATAGATGCTACAGTATCTGCTCCAGCTCTCACTGACATTGTTTCGCTGATGCCTACAGCTGTTGTGTGATTCTGACAGATTCAGACAGTTTTACCCCTGAGGAAAAAGCAATGCCAAAAGTGATGTTGCTGTGCTCTTCATGTCTCTTGGACCTAAAATACAATTTCAAAAACAATGCGACACTCTAAAAAGGATGGATTGTGGCTAAATTAGAAAGCCTGTTGTCTCCTTTACTTTTAGTTACGACTTATAAATGCAAAAGTAGTCACATATGCAGAGACAAATCTGCCCTCGTCAACTGTTTATGTTCACAGTTTTTCTGTTTGCCTGAAAGGTTTTTCATATTGTCATATTATCACAAGTGATGTTGTACATCAGTGAATGCATCTAAACTTTAAAATTAGTGGCGTAGAAATAAAAATCTATTTTAAAACTTGAAACAGCAGCTTACAGAATATCCCTCCAACCAAACTTTTCTCCTTGAATCCTTGGCAAGTCTTATTTGAACATGTAAACATATGATCAGTCACTTATAATTCCTCCTCTTTATTTCACAATATGTAATTAACATTTTTCCAATCTTTTTCTAGTGGTTTTTACTTTTAAACTAAACGCCATGTTGTGACTGCCACCTGTAAAAGAACAACAGATGTTTTTCTATTTTGTCAAATAAAAAGGCATCCTCTTTGAAACAACTAGACAGTCTTAAATTAATTTCTCTTTGAGGTTTTCGACGTACAGAGAGTGAAAGTAGCACCTCACATTTCCTGTACCCGGCCAGTAAAGCGCCTCCGAATGGATCTCCAATCAGCCAGCGCTCTCAGAGCTTTGAGAGCGACGGCAGAGGCCCCACCCCTCAGCCACTTCCTCGCAGATCACTGGTGAGATCTGGTTGTGTGATGGAGCTGTTTCAAAGTCATACTAAGTTTGAACTTCTGTTTCAGGTCCTGATTTATTGTGTTGCTGACTGTCTAATAAGAGTAACATTTTGTCAATCAGCCTCGTGGAGCAGCCAGTCGGCGGGCTCAGGCTCTGTATGACTGCCAAGCAGATCACCATGATGAACTGAGTTTCTCCGAGGGTCAGGTGTTGGTGGTTCTTGGGCAGGAGGACAGCGATTGGTGGGTGAGTATCTGCATTCTTTATTTTTTCTGATTGACTGAAAATGATGTGAGAAATTCTCATAAATTCTCGTTACAATTAAATTTTGTTTTGAAAGAGGTATTCTTATTAGCAGTAAATGAATTTATTCTGTGTGTCTTATATAGCATGGTTATATAGAAGATGAACCAGACCAGAGAGGTTTGTTTCCAGCCTCCTTTGTCCAGCTGCTGTCTGATTGATGAAAACCTGCTCCAGACCCTCAGGCCAGCACAGATCCGGATCACATCACTACTTATGGAAGCTGAACTGAGCTCTCATAGGAAGCAGACCAGATGGTAAAACCTGACATTTACTGGATCAGGACAGACTTTTGGATCCGATGTCTGGCATCCTGCAGGTTTTTGAGATCTTTGTCCAGCTAACCATAACAACCTCAGGTTTGGATTTTCTATGAGCACATAATAGACGGCTCTGGACAGAAAACTTTATTTATGTGACTGAAGTCAGGGAGTGTTGCCAAGCTCAACAATCAGTGACAACTCATGACTTCTAGGACATTTCTTTATTATTCTAACAAGCACACATTTGACAGAAAGTTTGACCAAGTACAGCCACCCAGCGGGCTTTTATTTTGAGACTTAGATGAACTGCTTTCTTCATTTTTAAGTGACATTTAAATTACTTACTTTTGTTGGATTTTTATGGCGATACCTGTAGGACACCAGCAAAAGCTGCCACAATTTAAACTCCTCTTCCCGACGACTACTGAATACTGAAGACCAAAGCTCTAAATTCAGTTGACGCCAGTCAACACAGAAATAGAAACTCAGCTTCCTTTATTTACAGGTTTGGGAAAAGACTCAAGAGAAGAAGAAGGTTGAATGAGAAGCACTCTATGCCTTCAGCTGCCTTTGTGTCCCATTATACCCTCACTTCACTGAGCAGAAACTGTGGCGAGCTGCTGCCACTTAACTCAGTGGTAGGTGAAACGAAAATGTAATTATTTTTCTTTAAAGAACAAGCAAACTATTTTTCTCCATGATGAGTTGCGGAATTAAGATGTTGAAAGAAGCACCACTGGATGATGAAAGAATTGATTTTTCAATTAAAGTTATTTTAAAAAATGTAGCTTACAAAGACCAGGCCTCTGTTAAAATGTACTGTAAAGGTTACTGTGTTTTTTATTTTATATATATAAAAAAAGAAAAACTGTTGGTGTTTAACAGCACACACAAGTGAATGTGTCAATGTTTTATTTATTTTTAATGACTCTTCCTGTAGCTTGTTTAGACATGTTTATAATATAAAAAAATGTTGGCATCTTTTCTCCATTTCTCTTAGAAATATTTATTTTGTTAAACAAAAATTACTTATAAAAAGCTAGTGCTAGTTCATTGTCAAGTAAAAATTCAACCATAGAATGACTCAAATGTAAAAAAAAAACTGCTTACCCAAAAAGATTTTTCTGTATAGTTTGGGCTGCATAGATTAATTCAGAACATGCTTATCAACATGGTCTGCTCATACAAATTTAACATGTAAAACATTTAAATATGCTTTAAAAAAGTGAGTTTTACAGTGTAACATTGAAACTAATTTACCAAGGATCCTTGTCAAGATGTTAATGAACTATTTATTTTCTGAACATTCATCCTGCTGTTAAAATTTTGTACAATAGGACAGCACCGACTCTCCTGTAACATTTACAAGGTTGGACCACACAGGCAGAAGGACCTTTGACCCTTTTCAGTAGGATTTAATATCCTGTTCCAGTTTCATGGCAGTCCTCATTTTTGTTGATCATGTTAAAGTTTTAGAGTTAATGATTCCATATACTATAATGTAGCATCCTGTTTCTTGACAGCTCACAGAACCACAGGTCCTCCTCCAGTTTGCTCATTTTATGCTTTTAATGGGCTAATCATCCTAGAGGTCACATTGATATTGAACTCATAACATTTACTTTTCCCCATAAAAGCGAGTGTTGTTGTGCAAGGGCTTAATACCTGGATTTACCCAATCCATCTATGAGGTGCTTTTCCACGTATTATCTGCCTAACAGATAAATCTTAGTCCAGCTGAAGTACATGATTTCAGTAAAACTTAACATTTAGAGTAGACGTTTGCATGTGTTATGGTCAGACAGAAAAGCCTCTTTTCCTGCTATGCTTCCAAAACAACCAGTTGGCATAATGGCAGAATGATACAATTTATTCCTGGGTTCCAACATTAAACACTGGAAATTGTTTTATCTTCTTTTCTCAACTGATGATTTTGTAAAGAACAATATGGTATTTTGCCCACTTAATAAAATGTACTCAAAAATCTTGGATTTTTCTCTTTATTTCCTAGTATAACTACTGCTATAAAATATGGCGTCATTTTCACATTATTACCAGCGGAACCAATAAGTTTGGAGAGCACTGTACGCCGCGATCGGTCCTGAAATGCTTGACAGAATGTTGAGACATCTTGCATAACAATAGTGTGAATTATAAATATACTTTATGATCTCCTTTTGATCATTAGAAAAGAAAAGCTGTTACTTTATTTGTACAAAAATGTTCTTGTAAAATCACCAGGAAGAAACTTTTCAAACTGCTTTGTTCACAGTTCCTTAGTTTACCAGTTTTAAGTTAAAGTCTTATTAAAGTTGAAGCTTAAATGTTCAACCGTGAATATAATTTACCAATAAAAAAGAACAAAAGAATGCAAAAAAAGAACAGGTTTTTACAGGTTATATTAACTCAGCATTATTTTAGGCGGAAAAAAAAATCTGAAAATATTTCGATAAACATTCAAATATAATGGTATAAAGCACACCGTAAAAACAGCAATGAAACTATATAAAATAACAAAACCAGTTTCATTTTGGTTTTATTTGTTTTTATTTAGGTCAAAGTGATGGTGGGTACATGTTTTATGCGGTTTTGGCTGAACACGGTGCTCAGTTTGGCATCTAGATCTTGCTGATCGTAAAACTGGTATGTGACTGAAAACCCAACACTGACCATTTCAGTCTGAACAGAAAGCCTAATTAAAGCTGAACACACATAATCAGATCCTTTGGACTAAATCCATGCATTATGTATGGACTTTTATGAAAGAAAAAAAGATAATTAAAAGATGTCCCATTATTTAAATACAACTCCTCACTCCCAGAATGCAGCGAGGAGCAAAAATTTGGACTCAAAGGCACAAAAACACTATAACAGGGTATATCTGTTTGAAACAACTTGACATATTGGCAGTAAAGACATCATCCAGATGTTAAGTAATACTCAGGCCTGCTGCTCTGTCATTAACTGTCTGAAAACTGCCAGAATAGCTCGTTTCCCACTTTATTGGCTGCAATTTCCTGCAACAAAGCAAAGTGTTAAAGTGAAGGGAAATATTAAAAAAACCAGCAGATGTTTCTGATTAAACTGAGAATTCAGGCAGTTTTGGGAATGAAAAAACCAAACAATGAATGAACTGGTAAAAGTGACAGAGCAACAGCTTACAGATGAATATCCAGCATTATGATGATTTCTGAGTTTTCCATCTGCTTCGAATAAAATAATTAAAATCATGGCAGCATATTTCTGTAGTTTTAAAGAGGATAATGACTAAAGACCGCAAGCTGTCTCTTTGGGTGAACTTTCAATGCTTTCAAGTTTGCTACAAAAGTCATGTTCTCAAGGAGAACAATGTTGTATGAAGCAGATGGAGCATCTCAGCCAGCTTAAGTCTCAGGGCAGTTTCACACATTGGTGTTTGGATTTAAATCTCAACATTCTCAATAAAGCAATAGTAAAAAATAAACATTCAAAGATTCAAAACTCAATTACACTTAAGATGAGCCTGCAAAGGATCTGTTTGCCTGTAATTAAATTGTAGCAAATGATTTTACTTAGTCTTATTAACAAAGAATGAATAAAGTTCCATTTTATTTTCTAAAACATCAAAAATGTATTGCTTAATCACAGAGTTTAAAATGCAATTTTCCATTGCAGCTTTGAATTATAGGTCTTTTTTACAAAACACAATTAGATTTATATTAATGTGCACATGCAACCTAATTTCTAATCCTCCAACACTGTTAGTTGGCCTTTGACCACAAGTCATTTTCAATAGGACTAAAAAACAGCAACAACAAAAAAGCTGTTGAATGCAGATATATTGGCACTGAGGGGAATCTAACCATGATTATAGTGTAAACCAAGACACAAACATTCAGTTGATTATTTAAGACAGTCAGCATCAGATTATTTTTTTGTACATTCACAGTGGAGGCGCAGCAGCTGTCATTGCCGCCTGCTGAACTGGTCGGTGCCTCTTTAGAGAGTCTTTTGGTTGAACCCCAAATTGTTCTCAATTTTAATGTCATCCATCGAGTGCACATGTCATGTTACCGGTTAGGTTTTATTTAGAAAATCTTCATAATTATGTTGGTCTTCATGTTTGTTGCCATGATCAGGGAAGGATCATAAAGTTCAGTTCCAGGATTCCTCCACAAAACCCAACTTATGTGTTGCTATTATTCCATTTGTTCTTATCATGCAGTAGCAGTACAATATCGTTTTATGTCCTATTAAATAAAAGGCATCTGTCACACTGTGGCATTGCTTTTGCTGATTGTGACCAACTAGAAGACAATATCCCGTTAAAAATAAACAGAAACCCTGCAAGGTGTTTAAATTATTTAAACTCAAACTGTTAGCTAAACATAGGCTCATCTGGTTTTCTGTGGCCAAAAACAAGGCTGAGTTTATAGCAAAATAAAAGAAAACCAGATGCCGACTCCATTTTCCTTCCAGTCATAATTCTACAGAAAAGGACGGTTTTAAAGGACCTTAAAAAGGAAGGATTATAAATGATACAATCCTTGAAGTATTCTCACAGAGGCAAACATTCATTGGCACCCATGGTAAAGGTGAGTAAAAATCTTTCAAATAAATTAATGTTTCATTCTGGCAGCAAAATATCATATGGTTATGGGAACTAACAGTGTAATGGGACACTTTTCCCCTCGCAGTCTGACCTGACATTTACCATGCTCCTCCTAAACATGCCAAGACCACGGGAGGTTTAAGAAAAACTAGTTTAAATTGCCACATTAATTCATTAATATGGGCATAACTGACACAAATGTAAACAAGTTACGTTAGCTAAACTGCTTGAATTAATTGGAACTGTCTGCTTTGGACAGATGAGATAAAGAGAAGAGCACTTCAATTAAACTTTTAGATATGGTAAAGGATGTGATTCTACTCTTTAATTAAAAAGGGTTTGTACAAAATAGTCACAGCTGGGTTGATTTTGTTAAAATGAGTTATTTTTTACTTGGATTCTCACCCCCAGGGTGAATACATAAATAAGGTCTCAAATAAAAAAAGTTAGATTTTTCTAAATTTTCCAACTGAGATCACATTGCTGCAGTCAAAGATTAATTTATTTCATGATTTTTACACATTCAAACAAGAGGTGCCAACACATCTATCCATGTTTGTGTGTGGTTAATGAGCAAACCCATCATCTTACCATTACCCAACCATTCCTCCTCATTAAAAAGGTGCTTTTAATTAAAAAAAGAAAGCGGTTACCCCTTTGTAGTGTCTAAAGAATCCGATACAAAAGTTACCTTACAAAAAATTGGTGGTTGATTCCCATTCAGAGCAAAATGCACGGTGGCCAATGGCATCAGTCACCAATGACAGGACAGTCAGTAATGGGATCAAAAAACGGTTGATCGTTCAAAATGAACATCTTTGAAGCAGCAGAAGTCTGTAAGTACATCTTTGCTGCCCAGCAGGTTTGTTGTGTTTAGTCAATTCACTTTTATGCTTAGTGACTGAAAATAGGCAAAACAGCAACCAACAGGAAGCAGCTGAAGGCAAAGTGGTATCAGAAAAGATTAAAAAAAAAGCTATCTAATCACTGTCCAATTATTCCTATGTTGGAAAAAAAAATGCAGCACACATCTGACTCAGATTTGGTTGTTCAGTACGAGATCCTTCAGTCTTTATGTGAGCCTCACAGGTAGAGCTTGATCTTGCCCTCCTGGTCGAGTCTGTGGATGACCTCTGTCTCAAAATCAGCACTGTGAACACCAGTCTTTCTGAAGGCTCCAGCATAGCGGTTCTCCTCCCAGTAGTGATGCCAGTTCCCCTCCTTATCAGCACCATAACCAAACACAGACACCTGAAAACAGACAAAGTGCATCATTATTGTTCAACATCTGGGTGCCTGAGAAACAAGTGCATGCCAAGAAATAAATTAATTACAAAATAAATAAGTTTTCTGAAATAATTTAGATCGACATTTGTGCTATGTTTTGGTGGCACATGGCAATTGTAAATATTACTAAAATGTTATTTTTTTTTTCAGTTAATTAAAACTTGACTATATTGATTCATTACATAGCAAACTGATGAATCTCAGAAAATATAAAGACTGAGAAAATACAGATTCCTAATTCACAAATGTAGGTCTGCTGAAAAGTTTTTTAATAGCGCCTTACGCAAAAACTATTGCTTCAACGCAACATGGCATTGAGAGGATCATTTGTTGCCCCTCAGTTAGTGCGTGTTGTTAGCAGGCTGATTTATGTTCTAAAATACAACATACCTTTACATTTCTGCATTAAAACTTTTACATGTCTTCTGTAAAACCCAGATTAAAAAAAGTGTTATTAGCGTTGAGCAGAAGCTAAAATAATCACAAAACAACAAACAAATCTAATGTATCATTGTGTATTGAGTCACCGTAAAATCTGGGTTTCATTTTTTTTTTTTTTTTTATAAATTACTGCAAAGGAGAAACATGTGAATGTTATTCACATTTACTGAGCTGCACCTGTTCCATACTGAAACCTCAGGAGGAACAAAATCATTTCTAAGCAATCAATTTCAAATGTATTTTATTCTGTGTAATGCAGGAGGTCTAAGCAGAAATTACTTGCCAAGTTTCTTCCCAAAATTTGGTATTTTAACAAATTTCTAAATGGGGTGAAGAAAGGAAAACACAAAAACAACTCGGTTTTAAGCATCTCACACCAACTGAAAAATTTTGTGGTTTATCAGAGAAAAGGTTGGGCTTTGATTTGACTGATATAAAATATAATCTGAACAAAAACCAGCAATTATATTTGAAATTAAGTAAACGCATAGCTATGCTTTCTTCCTACCTGGTCACAAGTGTGCAGAGCAAAGATGATTGCCAGCATCCCGGTGGACGGATAGCGACCGTGGTGCTCTGTCCAGAAATCATGGACATACTTAAAGAAGACTGGATTCACCACCAGAACCTATGTAAACACAGGGTTTCAATGATAAGAACTGACTGGCCAAGAAAAAACAAACAAAAAAACTAGATAAACTAATTATTTCTTCACTGTTGCCCTTTGCAGCAGTGAAGACAAGAGCAGTTTTTGTAAATGTATATTGAACTGAACTGTGGCATCAAGCATGGTATTGATGCAACAGTTAAAAAAAAAAAATCAATAAATAAATCAGAAATGTGTTCAAGTACCTTGTCTTTATCAGCACCCACTCGGTCTTTGACCCTCATGTAAGTCCTGAAACACAATTAGCGGTTGAGTGTAACTTTCATCATTTCGTCAAAATGATGAAAGTTGCTTTCATCATTTTGCATTTATGGATCTAAATGTTTAAAATCAAATGAATAATTCTGGTCAGAAATTTACATGCACTCATCCTGGTCATGAAAAACAATGTGTGGGAGTTTCAAATAATTTTAATATTTATTTATTTTATTCGATAAAAACTCTTCCATACTTCGTGTGCTACAACTTAATTCCTTAAATACGGAAGAGAGCTTTAAACAAAATTTTATCAAGCTTTTAAAGCTCAAATGAAGGCCAGAATTAAGAGCAAAATCTCTTAGTTATTGTGCATACAAGGCATGTGGCAGACCAAGATTTCAGAAATATCCTTTAATCAACACTGAAAAAAATAGCATGGGTTTTACAGACATTTATACCAGACAAGTAGGAGAGCTAAAAGGAAATCAAGGGGCATTACATTACATATAGTGCATAATAATGAATTAACAAAGACAAATACAAAAATAGTTTATAGTAGAAATATTATGGCCATGATACTTTGTGCTATATGTTTTACTGCAGTAGACTATGCTGTTCTACAATTACAATTTATATCACCGTGCCATTAGTCCACAGAATGTTGTTTAAAGTAAAAATAGAATAACTATGAGCAGTTTTGTACTTTGACTGATGACTTGACAGCTGTTCATCGAAATCCTCCACAAGGAAGGCGTCAATCAACCGAGAGGATAAACTGTAAAACCTTTAGTAACCCAATATTTCTGTAATAAGAATAGATTCTCACTTTTTAATGTTCCAATTTTACTAGAAACTTAATTTGAGATTTTGTTTAGCTGCAAGCTATAAATCAAACTGAACAAAAGTAAAAGTTGGAAAATTATAATTCAAACTTAAAAAATGTTATGTAAATGTCTTACATTTTGATATGGCCGGTTGACAATGCACTGGTCAGCCACTCCAGGTCCCTCAGCTTGAATGGCAACAGGACGAGGTTGACTCCATGTTCCACATCCACAGCACTCTCTGGATACAGGAAGTGATGCGTCGTCCTGTTCCCAACGTCCTTCTCAAAACCTCGAGTCACTGCCTTGTTCATTCTAAGCAGGAAACAGAAGGAAGACTAATCAGAACCAAGGCCGTATATTTACATTTATCTGTGGGCAACCTTGGCCATACAAACCGAATTATGAAGTTGTGCGAGTCGATTAATTTGCCGTGCCCGGACCTCCGCAGGTTGCCCGAGTTGCCAACAACTGCACATTTACGGCAACGTGTGGGGACTGGCCTGGTGTCCACAGTGGGCGGGGAAATGACCTGGAACATTTTTGCCATCACTTCCTCTAAAGACTGGTCATTACCAGACTTCTGAAGACCCTGCAGAAAAAAGGACAACTGTAGTAACTAATTTAGGACCAGAAAGTAGAAATATAGACTGCTGCAAGAAAACCTCCAGTTGAATGTAATACAAGGAAAAAAAAATTATACTGTAAAGACTTTTTGTGGAGAACCCCTTCCAGTTATGGTTCTGCTACAGACTGCATTCTGGAAACCTGAGTGATGATGTTAGCAGCTTTGGTACTACCCCTCCTCCTTTTAATCTACTAATGGTATCTGCAGCAAGACTTAATCTATAAATGCAGGAAAAAGACTGAAAACATTTGTCTCCATTAACGCACTGCAGATAACAGCTTCCATAACAGGAACATTTTTAGGACTGCTTTAGATTTTTACAAAATGTTATCCACCGTTATTGCATTTACTTTTCTTTTATAATACCAGCCTGTCATTTTTTTTTTGCACACTGCATTCTAAGATAAATTAGACTGTTGTTGCTCTTCATCCACATTCACATACTGGAAGCAGCTGCATGAAATCTGACTTTCCATATTATTCAAACAGTTCATATTTGAAGAATTTTGTGAGTTGCTTAATCTGTGTATTTGAGAAAATGGTAATTCTACAGCTATGATGAAACAAATAGAGTTATCCAGCCGATACACAACAAGCTTGTTATTTTAATGATGATGCATCCACAGGATAAACTAGAAGGCATACTGAACAAAACAGAAAACTGTTGCGTTTGTTTGGTCAAACCTCAGAAATGCAAATTAATTCATGAAACATTAACTCAGAATAGCAACATCAACTAGAATTTCTCCTCACCAGCCACCATGCAAGTGCATCAGGGTCAAACTTGTTGTTCTTGGCATGTAGGATAGGTTGCTGTTCAGGGTTGTAGCGTCTGCTGAACCAGCTAGACATGTTGGTGTCTGAAATACAACCATCTGAGCAACTGCATGGCCTGAGAGAGGACGACAAAGAGAGTCATGCAGGAACTGACAGAGAATTAAAGGACACACAGCGTCTACAAAAAGACCTGTCATACTTCCTCAGGGAAGTATTTTGGTCATCATAGAAGTTATTACGATAAACAATAATATTGCTCCTTGGAGACATTTTTCAGGTAATGTGGTGGGAATGGCATAATAATGCAAGTACATCCTCCTAATGATCAGTAAACATTCATTTCTAATGAACATTTAAAACAGAAAAACATGCTACATAAAAAAATAAAACAAAACAACTTCAACAAATAAAATTATGAAGTTGGTAAGCAAAACAGGGCTTTCTAGAGACCAAAGAAGACCAAATGTAGCATTTTATCATCCAGTTTTTGGAAGAAAGAGAGACAAAAAAAGAAAAACAAATTAGGCAAATGGAAATCATTGAGCTAGTTTTCATTTATCATGAGATTAATTGATTTAATGCGACATGCTGAGCTACAAAATTACTTCTCTTCAGGGTGCTTCTTGATTTTCTTCTTCTCCTCCTCTTCTTTTCCATCAGTCTGTCGGGAAATGGTACTGGGAGGAAGAGGGGGATGAGACAGGACAGCAGGGGCCACTGTTGGTTCAACCACTGCAAGCAAACAAGTTTGAAAATAAAAAAGATGCATAATGGTAACTCTCTGATTTACATCTCAGTGAAAAAGAGATGTAAATCTCTATTTACAAGCAAGCTGAGAAAAACAGACTATGAACATCTGAGCTTCCTGTCTTATCCCAGTGTATTGTGCTTATGAAATCTGACCTGGACCAGTTATGATAAAGAGCATTTACAGCTTCTCATCCTAAGACATCAATAATTCACACAGCATTCAGTCTTCCATAGCTTTTCCTCCTCACCAGAGTCTGGGCTGTATGACTCTTGAATGTGGACCTTCTTGGTCCTCTTATTTATAAAAGGATGCCAGACCCATTTCAACACTTTACTCGGCACATCTGTCCAGTTACTTGTAACTTACTACATTTAGGCATCCAGACTCTGGGTTTTAACTGAACATCAGAAGGGAGAATATCCACTGGGATTTTCATGAATAACCATCTAGCTGGTTGACACAGAATGGCAAATTCTCCAATTTAATCTAGGTTCATACTGCTCCTGATGTCTTCCTTTTCCATAAAGAATAGGAAAAAATTCCTAAATTTATTAGGAAGAACAATGACTACACACCATCTACAAAAGCCAGAAACAGCAGCAAAGATTTTAAACTACCTGCTAACCTTCTAATCCAATCTAACTTGGTATCTACTGGACAGTGGACACATTTTCAGAAGATACCAAAAAAAAAAAAAAAAAAATCACAACTCTTTAAAACCCAGAAGTATTGACAGAAGCATATTCTTCATTCTGATGACCAGATATGACCTCCAGTTTTAGTGCCCATTCCCTGAACTGCTACCACACGTCTCCCCACATATATTACTACAATTCTGCTCTATAACCACATAACTTTTGAAACTTCCTCAACTGGTCACGTTCTTGCACAAATGACTCTAGTATTGTGGAAACAGGAAATGCTACTGTTGAACCATTGCCTTAAAATATGTAAGAGCAATGGTTCAACATTAAAATATACCGCTACGGTGGGATGAAAAAGACTCACACCCAGATACTAAGTCATGATGGGGACTTCTAAGGTAAGACTTCTAATAACATAACGCTTCAAGTAAAAGTTAACTTATATAACCATGGCAAAATCTTTCATATTACATTTTATACAGAGAGCACAACTGATATTGTTACTGTTCCAGAGACTCATTTGTACAGTTCTTACCAGTGTCCCTGCTGGAGGCTGTGGCTCTGCTGTTGAGTTGGGATATTGACAATGGCAGGATCTGTTTCCTATGGATGCTCTGGCTTGCCAGCATCAGGAGGAGAACAGCAGCAATTGCCACGACGACGTAAAGCTTCCTCCTAACCAACATGACCGGACGGACGATGGGGTTGTGATAGCAGGAGGAAGGAAGTGTTGGTGAGCTGATAATCGTTTAGCTATGTCAGCATAGTCGTTGTCATCTGGACATTTTGCTCTTTACAGTCGTCTCTCCTCTCTCTTTTATTTCCATTAAGCTTGAGTCCAGTGCTGCTTTCTACACAGTGGGTACAGGATCTGTTGCAGACAGAAAGCCAAAAATATTAACATAATCTTCAAATTATATTTGGCCAAAACTTTGGTTAGCTATTGGACTGCCGCAGTTAAACATCAGTAGCTTAGGAACTCTTGTCTTTAGATGAGTCACTAACATTTAACATGTCTCATTTCATGAGACATGTTGGAAACTGTCTGTGGCAGTTTCCAACATGCCAAAGAGACAGGCCACCATCTGTATCACTTCCAAGTAATTTCATCAGTGCGACTATCCAATAGGCTGAATATATTATTGGCAAAGTGTAAATTCCTTGTAAAACATATTGTATTCCCAACAGCTCTTTCTAATATTAATGAGGCAGATTTTTATTCAGACGCCCAGTATATTTGCAGCATATTGCGTGAGCCAAATGTTGTCCAAATCACGTAGCTAATTTTCCACAAGCTATGTTCACAAAACACATCCCTTATATGGACTTCAGGAAGGTATTTATAAATATATTAAAAATAAAGAATGGTCAAACATCAGAAATTACAGGATGAACTCATATTCAAACATTTCTCACTAACATTTCTGCCAACTTGGACCATTTTTAATGACTCAAATTATGAAGAAGAAAAAGAAGACTACCCAATAAAAACACAATTAATAAAATTCTTTTTACTATGATCTCAAGCATTAATTTGTAAAACATTAACTACTTGTCAAATCCACCATGAGCTCAATCAGCTAGCAAAACTTGTACAATATTCAAAATGATTTAATAAAAACCCAAGATAGTAATTCAAAAGACAAGTTTGTAACATTGCATAAAATAACATGTTCCACAATGTTAAACTAGAAAACGCATGGAAAGTTAAAGTTCTTGATCTTTAGAGAACAATGGAGTCACTAACTCCCACGCCTCCTTTTCCTGTACATCACCTCCGCTCTGCTCCAGCAGGAATGTTTCCCTGCAGACAAACGTGGTCTGTGAATACCAATCAGATCTGGATTGGTTTCAGCTACTCCTGTTTCAGCTTCCACTCTGCCGTTAACTTGAGTGTGCCTCTAACTGTTATGTTCACGAGAGTTTACATTTGTGAAATTTAATCCTTCAAAAGTTTTAAAAGCTTCGTCTGCAACTTTAGCTCTCGAAAGGTTAAATTGATTATTTATGATTAAGATACATGCACTAAGTAATAGTGACAAAATTAAAAAGAGAAGAAAAGCCACTTCCCATCCTAAAGTACTGATGGTAGTACTGATTGCCCAGCGTCTCCACCCTAAGCCACAATGGCCATCATTTATTTAAACGAGAACTTCAAGTCAGAACACATAATGGTAAACACACAACCACAGTGATGTTTGTTAAAGCTTCCCATTTCCACTCTAATTGGTAAATTTAGAACTTCTTAATCACCGCCATCAGGCACTAACTGATTCCTGTTTTAGATTAACCTTTAACTGATTCAGCTCTGTCCACTCTGTTGTTTCATGAGACTTATTTTTTTATATATATACCTACATGTTAACCAGCTTTCAGACCTTCAAAACAATATAATGCAAGGTTCTTAGCAGTAATTGATGGATGAAAATTAACAGGAAAAAAGGTCATATCTCTGAGCTTGACATTTTTCATACAGAGTGCCAACAAACTACTGAAATTATTTTTTTTTCTCCAAAGAAAGCTTACTTAAATATTTTTGTAATGACAAAGGGGGTGATAGTAAATACTCAACAGAAAGATTAGTTTTTTCTTCCCTGAAGAAGCAATAATAAGTCACAATTTAGAGTAGAATAAATTCCTTCTGGAAGGGCTACTTACTTTACTGTGCAAAGTGCTGCACAGTTTTGTCCAAGCATAATGTCTAGACTGCTCAGCAAAAAACAAAGGGAACAAATTGAAAAAAAAATAAAAAGTCAACAAAATAATGGAGAGCTATGCAGTTCCACAGCCATCTAAAGGTAATTTCAAACTCTGTATTGGAAATTCAGGAATATGTCTGGCATTTTAAAAGCTAAAGCTAAGGTTAACATTTTAATACCTTATATAAATGGTAATGCTCAAGGACTTATACATTCAGCAGTTTTAATCAGGCCAATCATTGACTTTGGTTGGGATCAAGTTAGACAAAGTTCATATCATGATTCTTTATTTATGGCAGAACTGAAATTTCAAAGGTCTTTGCAATGGTACGTAAGCCCCGTCCTGCTAAAAGCAGAACTTGAATATGCAGCCCAACAGTCCAATCATGTGATCTCATTCCAGTTGTCTTTACCTTAATCTGCTGCCTAAGCAGATCCCTTAAAGACAAGAGGCATGTAACTCCATATCCTGCAGCAACAACTCAACTTTTCCTTGCAGAGAGCTTTCACAGCAATTGGTTAGACAACCAAGTTCCTCTCAAAGTAGAAAACACATGTATTTAGAAGCCTGTAAAAGCCCCACCAATCAGAAAGAAGAGGGGCGTCATAATGACCATCAGCTGAGTCAGAGTCTGTATGTTATTTTAGAATTAGTGGGGCTAACATGGAGGAGAGTGGGAGGTCTCTTGGTTTCCTGTGTTGAGAAACCACAGCTACAGTAATCCTTGTTTCTTCTTTTCTTGTTGCATGGCCTTCAAGTTTGGTTTTCATGTGCGAACAGAAAGCAGCTGCTCCTATGGCCTCAAGTTATCAACTGGAAAACAGCAGCAGCACATTAGGAAGAGTGGTGTCACTTATCAGATGAAGATTCAAAAGTCCTTTACTTAATTTGGTCTGTGGTAAACAAACAAACACGTACCATTTATGTGAAGAAACAAGAGGGAGTTACACATTTTTCACTGGATTTATTTAATTATTGTTTTATTTATCATTTAAAAACATTTATGCCGCCAGTGGAACATGTATGAAAAGTACCCTTTTTAAAGGGTTGCATCCTTCACTACTAGAAACTCTAAAACCCTAAAAACTCTGGGATTCCAAAAGAAAACCTCAGCAGCACAGCACACCAACATACCGAAAGCACTGCAGGGGAAAAACTAGCAGTTAAAAAAAAAGGTATGCAAAGAGACTTTAAGATATTCTAATGGATTTTTACTCATCTGCCAATTAAGAAAGGTTCTCAGTTGCTAAACTTAGTTACAAATTAAAATAAAAAATATTCTTATTTTGAGTAGTCTGACGTGCTATAACAACAGTATCTCATTAAGACAATGTTTTCCTTAAGCAGGGAAAAAGCTAAGCTCCACTTTTTCCACCAACGGAAATGTGATTTTTTTTCCTGTGCTTAAGGCAATTACTAAAGTTAGCTGATAGCACTGACCTTTAATGAAAGAGAGAGCACAGAGGCCAAAAAATAAATGCAGAACGAGATTTTTTTCCATTCCTGTGTGACACTAACCAGGTTAAATTGTCCTACAGTCAGAATGTAAGCAAGTTCCTTTGGAAGTGAGTGAACACTTGATGAATGAAGAATAAAATAAAAATAAAATCAAATTTTTGGTTCAACAAAAAAAAAAAAAAAAGAAGAAAAGACTGATTACTGTTAGTGACTTTAAACTGCTTAGAAAAATGGCACTGAGCGTGAATGACGCAATGGAAACAAGCAAGACCATGTGTTGTGATAAACTTTAAACATGTTATCTCACACACCAGAAACATGACACTTTTAACAGTTGGTGTTAAAGCTTGTGTGAGAATCACAAGCGATTTTATGAAAAAGCGGTGCTCTCACAGGTAAAACCCGAGGGGGTGGCGTTTGCATCTACACGAAGAACAGCTGGTGTAACAACGCTTCCAGGGTCTCCAGTCACTGCTCTATAGACATTGAACTCCTGACTGTGAGATGTCGACACTTTTATCTGCCACGTGAATTCACCAGTGTCACCATTGTTGCTGTTTACATCCCACCCAGCGCCAACACAAAGCAAGCCCTCAGTGTTCTCTACAACAACATCACGGACATGCAAGCCACACAACCGGAAGGTGTTTTTATTGTTGCTGGCGACTTCAACCAGGCCAACATGAAGACCGTGCTTCCAAACTTTCACCAACATGTGGACTTTGCTACTAGAGGGGAGAACACTCTGGACCTTGTCTACACCAACATAAAGAAGGCCTACAGAGCAGCCCTCCGCCCCCACCTGGGCTCCTCAGACCATCTCTCTGTCATGCTAATTCCTGCATACCAGCCCCGGCTCATCAGAGAGAGACCTGCAGTGAAGAAGGTGAGAGTATGGCCTGAGGGCGCCATGTCTGCACTGCAGGACTGTTTTGAGTGCACTGAATGGGGCATCTTCAAGGAAGCAGCAACAGACAACCAGCGCACCAACTTGGAGGAGTACACTGCATCTGTAATCGACTATATCAGTTGGTGCATGGAAAAAGAGACAGCAACAAAAACAATAGTCACTCGGGCAAACCAGAAACCTTGGATGACCAAGGAGGTGGGAACGAAGCTGAGAGAACGCAATGCTGCTTTCAGATCTGGTGATGCTGCGGCTCTCAGGTCTGCGAGGGTCAACCTGAACCGGGCCATCAGAGACGCTAAGCGAGCCCACAGCCGGAAAATCCAGGGTCTCTTCCAGGACTCCAACAACACCAGGAAACTGTGGCAGGGCATCCAGTCTATCACAGACTACAAACCCACACCCCCATCCTGCCAGACCGACACTGGCTTCCTCAACGAGCTCAACAACTTCTTCGGAAGATTTGAGGAGCTGAACAACAACCCTGCGAGGAAAGCGACGCCACACCCCGATGAACAGGCGCTCAGACTAGAAATCAGCAGTGCGGAAGGTTCTGAGGAAGGTCAACGCGCGGAAAGCTGCAGGTCCGGACAACATTCCAGGTCTGCTAATCAAGGAATGCTCGGACCAGCTGGCCCACGTGCTCACGGACATCTTCAACACGTCTCTGGACCAGGCTGTCGTCCCACGGTGCTTCAAGTCTGCCACTGTCGTTCCGGTTCCGAAGTCAACCACCATCACATGCCTTAACGACTTCCGCCCCGTCGCACTGACATCCACCATCATTAAGTGCTTCGAAAGACTTG